ATTACTTTTAGAAGCTAGAAAGAATAGCACAGCGTTCTCTATGCTTGAGCTGATATAAACAAAATCTAGTGCTGGAGAAGAGTATTGAATGTACCATGGACTGCCAAGAAAACAAACAGATTCATCCTAGAGAGGGTTAAACCAGGCTACTCCTTGGAGGCAAAGATTCTGGGGCTTTGTCTGACATACTTTGGACATGTTGTAAGGAGAGACAGGTCTTTGGAGAGGGACATCATGCTGGGTAGAGTAGAGGGACAGCCCAGGAGGGGAAGACCCTCTATGAGGTGGATTGATTCAGTGACTGGGGTAATCGGGATGGGTGTGTCAGAGGCAATGTGATTGGCACAGGATAGAGCAGGGTTTAGGGCTGTTGTACATAGGGTCGCTATGAGTCACAAATGACTCAACTCGACGGCACATAACAACAACAACAACAGTGTTAAAAAGGCTTCTGTGATGCCTTCTGCATAAATTGTCTCTATGTCAAGTCATTAGTTAAAGTGTGACTTTTTAGTTCTAGTACTTACTTTGTCTATTTTTTTATTTTGTTCTTCAGTAGAACTGTGTAATAACTACACATTATTCCATGAGCAATCAGAAAATGTAGTAATAATCTGATTTCATTGAAAGAAGCAGATGTATTCTTTAGAAACAAATTATTAGCACTGACTATTATTATTGGCACTGAGTGTAGTTTTGACAAGCTTTTATTCTGTGATTTTTGTCATTCTAATGATTCAATTACTAATGTCTACAAATTAATAGACTTTATGCATCCATTTTTTATTTAAAAAATTCATATAACCTTAAAATGAAGCTGGCAGAAAATTACTAATTGGTCTTAATGGTAAATATCATACTATGTAATTAAAATGTGAGAAAGTGCATAGTTAATGGATGAAAATAACTATTTAAAAGCCAGTAAGTCAGTTGGAGATCCTCTGAAGATAAAATTGATGTAGACTTGTAAAAAATATACTATTTCCTTAACTTTCATTGAAAAAGAATAAAACACAAACAAACAAAAACCAAAATCCCAAACCCCTAAAACAAACTAATGTACCAGTAGGTAAGTAGGTGACAATGATGTGGAGAATTTGAAGCCATTAACTAGACATACTTTATTCGAGATATCTGTCTAAGATTAGTTAAAAGCAGTAATCGGTCTATTAGGCAATGTGAATATTAAGACTTCTCAACAAGTTGGCTGGGGATGTCTAATGTGAGTATATGCCAGAATAGAAGTATCCTGCTTCTATAAATTAGGTTGAAATCTAGGATATTCTGTTAAGAAAAAAATACACAGTTTACTGCATAAAAATATAATATGTGAGAATCATAGAAGATAACTTTTTTAAAAAATAATTCAAACTTACAGAAGAAAATGAGACCTAAAAGGAATAAAATGGGTATGTGTAGTATGGTTATGTGTGGCACTGCTAGCCAAAAGATCAGTGGTTTGTCCCCGCTCCTGCTCCTTGGGAGAAAGAAGGGCAATCTCCTCCTGTAAAGATATATAAACTTGATTGAGGGCCACTGTCAGGCTGCATTGACCGTATAGCAATAGTTTGGTTTGCTTACACTGAGGAGTAGGGAGCCCTGGTCCCCTAAAGCTAAAAGCTGCACTACAGCCCAAAGGCATCCAGTTTGAATTTACCAGTTACTCTGGGGAGAGGGATAGGTAATCTCCTCCCATGCCATTACTGTCTCGGAAAACCTGCTATGGGGCCAGCTATGGGTCAGATCCAACTCGATAGCTCTCAACAACAAAAACAACAACATACTGAGGAGTGGGTAACTCTGGAGGCCTACTGGTAAGAAACTGTGCTACAATCGCAAAGGCACATGGTTTGAATTTACCTGCTGCTGTGGGGAGAATATGAACAATCTCCTTTTTCCTTTTAAAACTCAGTTTCAACTCGATGTCACACAACAATGCATGAGGAGTACTTTTCTTCTGGCATCATTATTCACTTGAGCAAAAGGCCAAATGTGTCTATTGCATTTCAAGTCTACCAGTTGCTGTGGATGAAAGATGGGAAGTCTCCTCATTTAAAGAGTTACAGCTTCAGAAAACAAGAGAACGTCCCTATGAGTTTGTTTTTGTTTTGTTGTTTATATAGGTTAAAAGAGCCTGGGTGATGTAGTTCATTATGTAGTGTGCTGCTAACTGGAAGATCCGTGGTTCTAATTCAGTAGCAGCTGCATAGGATAAAGATGAGCAGTGTCATCCATTCAGGATTGATTTGGCAATGTGTTGGAGGGATGTTATAATTTAAAATCTACTTGATGACAGTGGCTTTGCCTTTGACCTTTATGTAATTGAATTCCTCCTGTCTTGTGATATGAACATATTGTTGAGTGTTAATTGAGCTAATTAGACTCAAGGTGGAATTATGTGGCATTCAATTGGACATGGCTTATCAATGGAATTCCAACCAAATTTTTAGAGGCAGTAAACATATGGGAAGAAATTGCTCAACTCTCTCCCATGGAGCAGCCGGTGGATTTGAACCACATGACTTTGAACTGGCAGAGCAAATCCTTACCTACTTGGTCACCAGAGCTACAGTTTGCCTCATACTAGTGATAATACAAAAGTCTGCTTAATTTCACAAATTTGGTCAGGGAGACTCACTGAGGGGCTCATGCATGCTTTTATTTATTCTGTGGCAGTACACCAATGCAATTTCATTAAAATTGTATTTGGAGAAAGCACATATTTTGCAGTAGAATTTGAGTTTTACTTTAAGTCTGATATACAGGTATATTTATAATTTTTTGGAATAAATGTTTGTTAAAATCTACTATAGCATGAAACAAGAGATTGAGTTTTCTAGTGTGGACACTGGACTACTACCAGGAGCCTGTATTGCAGGTCTCACATTTGAACTTGGTCAGTCAGTTTGTGCCCTTTACTATAGATGAAGGAGCATTGCACTGACTGCGTGCAGTCCTGTACCTCCTCACTACAGATGTCCCATACATAGCCATTTACTCAAACTGAAGGATGTGGAGTAGGCTAGTGAATTTCAAGCCAGGTTTCTTGTAGTGTTAGAAGACTGTAGGGAGTATTGGGTAATTGGAGCCAACGGCAGGAGTGCTCAGGCTGTGATGAGGCTCTGAGTAAGTGAATGTCTTATTTGTCAGACCCTCAGCTGTAGAAATTTTACCTTTTAAACCTCAGTGCTCACTCTAACACTAAGAAGATAGGTATATTTTTACTCTCTTTTTTATAAGAATAGGAAAACTGAAGCTCAGAATGGTTAGGCCACTGCATACAGTCTCACTATTTAAATGAAGATGATCTTAGTATCTTAAATAAAAAGTAATTCTAATTCCCTAACTCTTAGCTTTGATGGACTTTCTGTAAAATGGGTAAGGAAAAGAACATTATCCTTTATGTGCTTGTGTATATGTAACAGATTACTCTGGTGACCTCATGGGTAAAGAGCTATGTACCCCCCTACTCCACAGGAGAAAGATGAGCAATAGTCTCCTGTGAGCATCATAGCCTCTCAATACCAACTGGAAGGTCAATTATGAGTTAGTTCTAACTCCATGGCTTATATCAACAACAACAGCAGCAGCAGCATTTATTATACACACACACACAAGTTAGATCAATAAAATATTGCATTTATTTGTTTTGTATCTAAATACTTTTGTGACACAAGTTTATTTTATTTCATAGTTCTTCTGTTTACTAAGACCTCAGAGTGGGACATGGATTTGGATGAAGCACTCTTGACTATGTGTTGACTTTGGAAGCTCTGTTGACTTATTATCACAAACATTTCTGTTTTTCAATTTCTTAACTTGTAAATGAGGTATAATAGTAATAATAATAATAAGAAGTGCTTGTGGAACCTCAGGTAGTGAATGCATGTTATGTACTTTAAACAATAGTCTGTTACTGGCTAAGTATTCAGCTCAACTATTTACTTGAGATTTAGCTATGCTTCTAGAATAGAGGCATAGCTAATTCTATTCAATCTAAATGCCTAGAAAATCATTAAATATAATGGCCTTCATGAAGAAGAATGGGACATCAGGATTGGAGGAAGACTCATTAACAACCTATGTCATGCGGATGATACATTTTGCTTATTGAAAATAAAGAGGACTTGGAATGCTTACTGCAGAAGATCAAAGACTATACCCATCATATTAACTAGATCCCAACATCAAGATGGTAGTAATCCTTACCACTGAGACAGTAGGCAACATCATGGTAGACGGTGAAAAGATTGAATTGGTCATTGACTTCATGCTTGTTGAATAAACAGTCAACATCTATGACACAAGCAGCTGAAAAATCAAAAGACACTGGGAAACCAAAAGAACTTTGGGAAAATCTACTGTCAAGAGCCTCTGCAAAGGTTGAGGAGCAATGATGGCAGTTTAAAGACTAGGGCTTATGATTCAAGCCATTGTCTTTTTCAGTTGCTTGTTATGCATCTGAAAACTCAACAATGAATAGGGATGACAATAGAATCAATAACTTGGACTTGTGATATTTAAGAAGAGTACTGGATACCCTATTGTCTGATAGAAGAAAAAAATTGTTTAGGACGAACTAGGGTGCTTCTCAGAAGCAAGCATGGTGAACTTCATCTCACATACCTTGGACATGTTATTAAGAGACGCCTGTCCTTGGGAAAAAGCATCATGCTTAGAAAGTTAGAAGGCCAATGAAAGTCAGAAGACCCTCAGTGAGATGGATTGACACAGTGACAGTAAGAATGGGCTCAAGATGAGTAGAGATGGAAGAGGATGGCACCAGAGAAGGCGATACTCAGATGCACTGATCATTGGGCCACTCTGAATTGTAATCAGTTTAATGGCAACCACTGCTATTGTAGAAGACAGTCTTTTTTAAGTTAAATTTAACCTTTGAATGAATTGGTGTCCTTTTTATCAATTTATTATTATTATTATTACTACTATATATTAATTTTTCTTAAATATCTATTAACACTTATTTTATGTCGTTTCAGGTTCCTATATGTTAGTGGATTCTTCAGATCATGACCCTGGGGAAAAAGCCAGACTTCAGCTGCCTACAATGAAGGAGAATGACACTCATTGCATTGATTTCAGCTACCTGTTATATAGCCAGAAAGGGCTGAATCCTGGAACTTTGAACATATTAGTCAGGGTGAATAAAGGACCTCTTGCCAACCCAATTTGGAATGTGACTGGCTTCACGGGCAGAGATTGGCTTCGGGCTGAGCTTGCAGTGAGCACCTTTTGGCCAAATGAATATCAGGTAAACATCTGTACTATTTTGATTTATGCTTTGATGTCAGTGAATCTGATTTTATGTGTAACACTTAGAGTTAAGTACTGACCCTTATAACTAGACATTGTCTTTCTACTCCCTTCTTCTGTCCCCATTCTTTTATTTAAGAAAATGATCAAATATTTTAGCACATAATCTTCATCTTACATAGGTTGTTGTTGTTAAATATTGTCAAGTAGTAGCAACTCATAGCAACCCTATGAACGAAAGACCTGAACACTTGTATAATTTTCATCCTTTTTGCAGGTTCATAGGGTTTCTGAAAGCAAGCTGTTTTGGAGTGGATGCCACTCCTGCTTCCGAGGTTGTTTTAATTGGGAACTCCACCAAACACTGTCCACTCTGGATGACCATTATCACATTTGACACATCAGTGTCACAGTGTTCAGCATCACAGCAAGCACAGGTTACCTCTGTACAGCAAGTGGACAGACCAGGGCTATAAGACCTAGAAGAATGTTTGAGTGAAAACAATTAAAAACAGGCCTAAGGGCCATGAATTAAATGCTTGATAGCATCACTTTCTGTCCAATAGGCCATCTTACGTATAAGGGAAAAATGCTCTGGTCTAAAACACGTTAATGTGTGGGAAATGTTATTTATTGACATACATGATATAAAGATCCCTGGTAGTGTTTAATGTCTTTTAAATTAAAGGAGCAGTTCAAATCCATGACTTGCTTTACTGGAGAAAGATGGCCACTCTTCTGTTGTAAGGATTTATACCTTCAGAGACCTGGTTAAGGGTCATCATTAGATACTACCATGAGTGTTTGGGTTTTAGAAAAAATAATCTTGAGTGCAATAATCAGACTACTAATTCATTAATATTCTCAAACAAAATATTTGAGAAATAAGCAGGAAATAGTGCTTCATGAAATATTTTAAGGGGTATTTTGGAATATTATATTCTTGTCAAAAAGTTTAATATGAAATAAATAAAATTTATATCTAGGATGAGAATACAGGATTCTAGTTGTAATGTGATCAAGTATATTATAATTTACTATCTTTATACTACAGCTATTATAACATTCTACTTCGGAAAGCTGCTCACAATGTTTTACGATTTTTATCCCTAATCTTATTATGATGAAGCTAGGCATGGCACAGCCTCATCATCTTCTGGTTTTGTAAAATTTCTATGGTTTCGGGGGAAAAAAATTCATTCCCAATGTGAAGAGTTATTCAATCATCTTATTGTAAAAGCTCAATTTCTAGAATTAGGGAGTCATTATTATAGATTAAAAAGTAAAGAACCAGAAAACTAGTTTTTTACTTTGAGTTTAAGATTTAAACTTTCAAAATATTTATGTATGTGTAATGTACAGGACTTAATGAGACTGGCTTGTCTAAAAGTTTATGTTTTATTTGAGTCAGTATGTACTTAATACCTATTTTTAAATAATTAACTATTTCATAAGTTTAGGCTTCTTTTTACTTCTATAAACACACACAAGTAAAAAATATATTGTTGATTTTTTTTTCTCCTATTGCACTTAAAGCATTTTACCTTGCAAACCTGGTTCTAAAAGGTAGAAGGTTCTTTATGTGCATGTTTTTCTGAGATAGTATGAATTTTGAGAAGGTATTAGTTTCTTCTGTTAGTTATAAACAGAAGTATATTCTGTAGTTTAGGAATGTCACATGCTTTTTAAGAGCTTCAGCTCTGGAAGAGAAGTGTGTGTGATCTCTGGATAGGTGAGGGGTCATGAACTGAAGCTACAGTGATGGCAGCCTCATCACTGGGCTCATCTCTGACAATCAGCACTTTATCAGGATGCCGTCTTAGTGCATTGTCTTTTTACTGACTTTCTGAGAATATGACATCCAATCTTCACATAATACTGAAAAAAGATAGCCTAGTTCCGCAAGATAAGACTGACAAATATTACAGTATTCATTCAACAAAGTAAATCTCTCCCAAGTAATAGTATAAGAAAGTCATTACAAATTTAGAATATTACATCACATTCCTTGGAAAAAGTGCATCCAGATCCAGTGTACTCCTTAGAGGTAAAACTGGTGATTGTTTTTCTCACATATTGTGAGCATGTTTATCAGAAGGAGTTAATCTTTGGAGAATGGTTTTAGGCTTAGAAAATAGAGGGAGGGAAGACCTGCAGAGGCATGAATTGTCAGAATAATTGTAACAGTGGGTTTAGGTAAAGATGGCATTATGAGGATGGCCTAGGATCAACAAGGCTTTGATCTGCTCTAGTTAGATTCATAGTCAGAATCTGTTTTAACAACAAGAGTCACAAACCATTATCTTTATTCAACTCTATCATTTGCTTAATTTTTTGAATGATATGAAGCCAGTAGTTTTATCAACTCCAAACAAAAAATTAGTATCCTACAATATGATATTTCTGTTCTTTTCTAACTCATAAATGACATATGTGTTTTTCTAAATTTTTAAAGATCTCTGAGTTAAGTTAATAACATTATGTTAATATCATGAAAACATCACTCCAGATTTTGGCATAGATTTTTTTTTCTTACAGCTCATCTTTCTTCAGCTAATACTGTAGTTACAGAATTCAGAATTTATGGATAAATACATGTTTTGTTCAGTCTCATTGTGTCTCTGGCATATTTAAGCAACAGGACAGAAACTGTCTTTACAAGTTTCAACCTGGCCACTTATAAGGTTTTGGAGCTCTCTTTATTGGCATCCACTTCCTGAACAACTAGCCTCTGGAAATTTATGAACTTTGATAAATGTCAATAGTTGTAGAGGAGCTTCAGGCCTTTTGTTCATAGGGTCGTTATGAGTTGTGCTCGACTTGAAGACAATCAACAACATTGTCAGAAGAGAGGTGTCAGTTTAAATACTAAAGTGTACCTATCTAAACCGTGCACTTTTCAGTTAGATTCTATGTGTGTGAAAGTTGGACAATGACGGAAGAATCAGTGCTTTAGAATTATAATTTTGAAGAACAATACTGAGTATACCATGGACTGCCAAAAGAACATGCAACCGGGGTACTCCTTAGAGACAAAGGTAGTGAAACTTTGTCTTAAATATTTTTGGCATGTTGTCAGGAGGGGCTAGTTTTTAGAAGGGGACTTCATGCTGGGAAAAGTGGAGAGTTCATTGTAAAAGAAGACTCTCAAGATAGATAGACACAGTGACTCTAAAAAATGAGCTGAGTAATCAGAGATGATGAGGATAGTGCAGGATGAAGCAAGGCTCAGATGTGTTGTTTATCTCACATTGACAAATAAAGCAAGCCTGTGGAACAATGATTAGTGTTTGGCTGATTACTGATTGGTTTGAATCCATCAACAACCAAGAAGGGATGAGGCAGTCTGGTCCTGTAAAGATTTCCAGCCTTAAGAACTGTATGAAGCATTTATATTCTGTCGAATAGGGGTCCAAGATGTTGAAATCTACCCCAAAATGTGGGATACACACACAAAAAAGACACATTCAGAAACAGTGGGCAGAAGCTTCCTTGTTATAGATTAAAATGTGCAAATAAATTGTTTCTTAACTAATTATTTTGCTTTCACATCTTTTCCTTCAACCTGCAAAATTTAGTAATCAATAAAAGCAAGTAACAGAGTATTTTTTATTTATGTGCTTAGTGCTCAATAAATTACTTGATTGATATTTTCATTGATTCAGTCAATTAGATACCTAGTTGTACCTGTAAATTCATTATTAGAAACAGCTAGCATATCAGAAAATATATTTACCTAGTGGGTTTTTTTTTGTTATTATGAAACAACTTGAAACATTTTTGATGGATGCTCAATTCTTACAGATTTTTAAATTGAGATACAGCTATTGTAAAATATCAACATCAGAAACTATCTTTTTGCATTCTTTTCCCCCCTACTAGTTTATTTACAAAATTAGAATACATTGTTTTCAAGAAAAAATTCTTTCATTTTCTCTCACCCCCCACCCATCCAATTGTCCAACCCCAGGATTAATCCCCCCCTCCCCCTACTCATCCTCATCCTTTTGCTTCCAGCCTTTCCTACTCCTCTTAGATCCTTATACTTATTCTATAATAATGGCTTTATACAAGATTTATCCTTGTGGGACTGAGTTAGTTCACTCAGAATAATGCTCTCCAGTGCTTCTCAAGGTAGGTAATAATTTACAAAGTTATGCACCATGGGAAAGTCTGCTGTTAGGGCCCTGTCCAAAGTACTGAAGAGCAGTGGTGTCTCTATGGAGACTAAGGTGCGTCTGATACAGACCATGGTCTTCACAATCACTTGTTGTGCATCAGAGAATTGGACAATGACCAAGGAGGATAGAAGGAGAATTGATGCCTTTGAGCTGTGGTGCTGGAGAAGAGTATTGAGAATACCATGGACTGCTAGGAAAACAAACAGATTTGTCCTAGAAAGGGTCAAACCAGGTGGCTCCTTGGAGGCAAGGATTCTGAGGCTCCATCTAACATACTTTGGACATGTTGTGAGGAGAGACCAGTCCTTGGAGGAGGACATCATGCTTGGGAGGGTGGAGGGACAGCGCAGGAGGGGAAGGCCCTCTATGAGGTGGATTGATTCAGTGACTGGGATAATCAGGATGGGAGCGACAGAGACAGTGCGATTGGCATAGGACAGAGCTGAGTTTAGGGCTGTTGTAAATAGGGTCGCTATGAGTTGCAAGTGACTCGACGGCACATAACAACAACAACAACATCAACAACAACAACATTGCTCCTGCATGCTACATAGTATTCCATTGTGTGAATGTACCATAATTTCTCAATCCATTCGTTTGTGGTTGGACATTTGGGCTGTTCCCATGTTCTTGTGATGGTGAATAATGCTGCTATTAACACTGGTGTACAAATCTCAGTTTGTGCCTCAGTTCTCCTATTCTCAGGGTATATTCCAAGTAGTAGAATAGCTGGGTCATATGGAATTTCTATGTTCAGCTTTTGGAGGAAGTTCCAAACTGCCTTCCAGAGTGGTGGCACCATTTTACAATTCCACTA